CTGAAAGAAAATCAAAGGGAAATTAAGTCTGAGGTCATAAATGGATATAAATATATTATTTAAATAATACTTCTCTCACTGTGGCGAAGAAAATGTGTTTGATAAATTTTGTGATTAAAAAATAAAAAATAAACTAATTACGATACATGTATGAATAATAATACCATAATATACATGTATAATGGAATGTATTACTTTCGAAATCAAACATTTTCAAAACCATTATGCATACGATTCCGTAAAAGCAAGTTATCACTTATTAGCATAGTTCCTCCATGTTTTCTTCTGCCCGTTTTCTCTGATGTTGAACCATTTTCTGATTATTACCGGGGTAACTAAACCATTAAAATGATCGCGTTGATGCTGTTATGTGCGACAATGAAAACACAATATAAAAAGGAATTAAAATAAAAGTATTATCCTCTTCCTGTTTATGATAATTTAACATAGAACAATTACAAGGTCTCAGTTTAGATACAATATCAAACAAAATAATTCTCTTTAAACATACAATATCACGAAAAATATTTATTAATGATAATATTCGTGCAAACACTGACGAACATGGGAGATCTCAAAAACAACAATAAATCAATCAAACATGCAAATCCTTCGCCTAATCAATTTACGATAGAACTGACAACGAAAACGTAATATCTTGGAGGAGAAACTATTAAATTCAACAGAATCCTGCGTAATTCATAACACTCTATACAAGACATAAACTTGCATAGAGTAGAAAATAATGTTAGTTATACTTCAACAAATATCGAGTGGTAATATCAAGCAAGAAAATGCAAGTCACAGAAGATAATTATAATTCTAAAAAAAATACGAGAAAATGACAACAACAACAACAACAACAACAACAACAACAACAACAACAGTACCACCATTCCATCCAACAATTAAAACTTCTATTCCGGACTTCCACCCAACAATCACAATAATGAAACACAAAGGGCCCATTCTTCCCGGCACAAGGCACTCGTAAAACACAGTGCCACTACTTCTACCAACGCCAGGCACCCTGCGAGACGGACGGCGTGCAACGGGGCATTATCAAAAAACAGTGTCAGGAGATGAAGGGCAGAAGGAGAGGAGATAAAGAAGGTGCATTGAAGAGACGAGGGAAAGAGAAGAGAATGAAAGAAGAGGAACGTAGGATGGGGAGATAAGAAGGGGGGGGAGGGAAAGGAAGAGGGAGAAGAGGAAGTAGAGGTAGAAGGGAAAGGGGACGGAGGAGGGGAGGGAGATAGGGAAAAGGGGGAGGAGAGAGGGAGAAGGGGAGGGGGAAAGGGAGGAACAGCAAGAAGCGAGAGAGAAGGAGAGAGAGAGAGAGAGAGAGAGAGAGAGAGAGAGAGAGAGAGAGAGAGAGAGAGAGAGATAATGACAGACAGCGACAGCGACGGAGAGACAGACAGACAGCCAGGCAGCAAGGAGAAGCAAGACGGCAAAGACGCCGACCTCTCTTAAAACAAATGAACCGCCTCGTCTCTGCAACTTAGCAATGTTGTTTAACTCGTAATGGCGAAGTTCGTTCTTGGTCCCGTGATAGAAGTTTATTGTTATACAAGTTGAGATTGATTGCTCTGCGTACATGCTCTTCGGTGTTTCTTGGGGGAAAACAATAATGCGGAAGATGCCCACACACACACACACACACACACACACACACACACACACACACACACACACACACACACACACACACACACACGAAGGTAAAACACACACACACACACATACACACACACACACACACACACACACACACACACACACACACACACACACACACACACACACAAACACACACACACAAACATACACACGCACACACACAGACGCATGATTTTTTTCTGATCTAAAATCGCACATGCACCGCGCGCAAGATATTCATATTAAAACAACTAAACAATATTCACTCTACTAATTGCTTTGTTTCGAACAATCTATTCGCTTGGATAAACACTGCAATATTAGCTTTATTTCGAACGAAAGTTCAATTTAATTTTTGTGAAGGTGAGGGGAACGGGGGGGGGGTAAGGGAGAGGGGAGGTGAGAGAGGGAAGGAGGAAGAGGAGAGCGGGGAGAGGAGATGAGGAGGAAGGAGAGGGGAAGAGAGAAGAAGAGAGGAGAGAAGGTATACGAGAGGAGAGAGAGAAAGAGGAGAGGAGAGAGGGAAAGAGAAAATAAGAAAGGGGAGCGAAGTGGAACGAGGAGGGAAGGAGGAAAAGAGAAGAAGAGAGGGTACGAAGAGAGGACAGAAAGAAAGAAGAAAAAAAAGGCGAGAGGGGATGAAGACAGTAGAGAGAAAATAGAAGAGAAAGGAAGAGGAATAAAGAAGAGAGGGGAGAAAGAGGGGAGGAAACTAGAAGGAAAGGAGGGGATTGTTTCTCGATTAGGCGGAAAAAAGTCTGCGGATTCTCACTGCGCTTTTCCCGAATTCAAATTGTGTTTCCATTTCCAAATTCTCGGGAATCCCCTTGTGAAGCCCCTCCCCCCCTCCCCCCTCCCCCCTCCCCTCGTGAAGCCTCTCCCCTTCCCCCTCCCCTCGCGAAGCCCCTCCCCTCCCCCCTCCCCTCGTGAAGCCTCTTCCCTCCCTCTTCCACTTTTTTGTCATTCCCTCCTCCTATATTCTCTTCTATTTCTTGGTTTATCTAATCGTGTTCTTGTTATTCCGTTCTTTCCTTCCTCTCTCATTCCTTTCCTTCCTCTCTGATTCCCACAGGCTCTGTCCTTACTCCACTCTACTTCCCTCTCTTCCCTCTTCTTCCTCTTCTTTTTCTCCTTCTATTTTTTTTCTCTTTCTCCTCCTCCTCCTCTTTCTTATTATTCCTCCCTTTCTTTCGAGATATTTCTTCTTCTTCTCTCTCCCTCTTCTTTCCCCTTCTTTGCCCTCCTTCCTCCTTCCTCCTCCTCCACCCCCCCTTCTCCGCTCGCCTTCTAAACAAAGCCTCCGCCCGCCCTTTCTTCCTCGTCTGAAAGCGATCCCTCCCCCCCTTGGAATGAGAGAGGACAATAAAAGGGGATGCAGAGGAGACACGCAACTCCCCCCTCCCCTTTCCTCGATTCCCCCCCTCCCCCTCCCCTTTCCTCCATCCACCCACCTCCCCCTCCCCTTTCCTCGATCCCCCACCTCCCCTCTCCCTCCTCTTTCCTCGATTCCCCCCTTCCCCCCTTTCCTCGATCCCCCCTCCCCCTCCCCCTCCCATTTCCTCGACCCCCCGCCCCCCAACCTCTCTTGTCTCCTCTTTCCCCGTCATCCTCGCATTCTCTCCTTCTCCCTTGTTCCTATATTACCTTCCCCCCACCCCCCCTTCTTCTCTTAGCTTCCCTCGTATTTTTACATTCATTTATTTCTCTTCCTGATTTCTGTACCTTCTCTTCCCCCCTCTCCTTCTTCCCCCCATTTAATTTTCCTTTTTCTTTCCCCCTTCCCCATTTCCTTCTTTCCCCCTCCTCCCCACACATCCCTCCCCCCCCATCTTCTTTACTCCCCTCCTTTACACTCCCTTCCTACCCTCCCCCCCCTCATATCTTCTTCTCCCATGCAGGCCAACGTCTCGCCCCCCCCCCCCCACCCCACGCCCACAACGCCACCTCACCTTAAATGCAAAATATAACCTCTCGCCCCTACCACGCCCATATACGCCCCCCCCCTTTATATCACCCCAGCCTTACCTTTCCCCTTAACCCCTCCTCATCGCCCCTCCCCTCTCCCCCTCTCCCTTCTCTCCTTTCCATTCCCCCTACATTTTCCCCTCTCCCTTCCCCTCCCCTCCCCCTCCTCCTTCTCCCCTCCCATACCACTCCCCCTCCCCCTTTCCCCTCTTTTCCTTTCCTTTCCCCTTCTCCCCTCCCTTCCCCTCCCCCTCCCTTTCTCCCCTTCTTCTCTCCCTTCCCCCTCCCCTCTCCCCCCTCCCCTCCCTTCCCCTCTCCCCTCACCGCTTTATATCAGGTGAAGATTTAATACGTGTAATGCCGTGCGGGAAAATAATGCGCTATAAAACTTATATATGTTGACAGGAATGAACTGGGAAAACACATGCGTTGGAAGGGTGGGAAGCAGAGGGAGGGAAGAAGAGGAAGAGGAAGTAGAGGAAGATTAAGAAGGAAGAAGAGGAGGAGGAAAAGATGAAGAAAGATGGAAGAAGAGAGACGAGAGACGAGAGAGAGAGAGAGAGAGAGAGAGAGAGAGAGAGAGAGAGAGAGAGAGAGAGAGAGAGAGAGAGAGAGACAGAGAGAGACAGAGAGAAAAAAAAAGAAAACAAGCAGGAAGCAAACACATCAAAACAACCCTTTCCCCTCCCCCCCACCCCACCCCTCCATACCCATCCTCGAGTAATGAATGACCTCCGCGTGGCAAGCATCCCTCACAATGACCTCGGAACAGAATCGCCATCAACCGCGGCCTCATCACCACGCCCGATCTCCTCATTTCCCTCATCATCGCAATGAGTAATTAGCGCGCGGGAGCAGTAATTAGCGAGCGGGAGTCTTTAAAAAAACCGCCTCGTTATCATCGTGATCACCATCGCCATCAACAGCGGCTTGGCAATTGCAGTGGCGAGTGTGATGTTAGTTGTTCACGATATTGCCTCGTCTTCTCTGTTATTCTTTTGTTTCATTTTTGCTCCCTTTTCATTTTTTTTTTCCTTCTTTCTTTCATCGTCATCATCATAATCTTTTCCTCTTCCTCTTTTTGCTTCTGTGTTCTTGTTTTTCTTCTTTTAATTCCCCCTTTTTTCCCTATTCCTTGTTTCTTGTGTTCTTTCTTATTCTCCTCTTTTTCCTCATTCCTCCCTCCTTTTCATATAGTTTCTCCTCATCCCCCTCTGTGCCTTACGTCCTTTCTTTCTTTTCTTCTTCTTATTCCTCCTCCTTTCAAGTTCCCTTTAAAATTCCTCCTCCTCCTGTTTCTCATGTTCTTCCTTCTCCTTCTCTTCCTCCTTCTCATTCCTCCCTTTCTTAATTTCACTTCTATCCCCACCCCC